ACTTTTCAGATGCGAAGTTCAAACACTGGTAAATCAGTGTTGCTCACAGAAATGGTTGAGTATGCTCACAAAATAGAGGAAAAAATGAAGGCTATGCAAAGTGAAATAAAAATGTACAGGGAACCAACAGTGAAGGGAAAGAAACCAAGGCTCAAATCAATGATTTGGGGAAGGAAGAAAAAAGCTTTCAACCAGAACAGAGTGAAGAAACAAGAATTCAAAAAAATGAGGAGAGACTTAGGAACCTCCAGGACAAGTTTAAATGTCCCAACATCCAAATCATAGGGGTGCCAGAAGGAGAAGGGGATGAAGAGCAAGAAACTGGAAATGTATTTGAAAAAAAAATAATGAAAGAGAACTTTCCCAATCTGGCAAAGGAAAATAGACTTCCAGGGATCTTCAAGAGTCCCAAAGAGGTTGGGCCCAAGGAAGCACACACCAAGGCACATCAGAATTACTTTAGCCAAGACTGAACATAAGGGGGGAATCTTAAAAGCAACAAGAGGAAAGGAGACCGTTACCTGCAAAGGAGTTCCCATAACACTACCAACTGACTTCTCAAAAAAGAACCTTGCAGGCAAGAAGAGGCTGGAAAGAAGTATTCAAAGTCATGAAAGGCAAGGACCTACATCCAAGATTACTCTATCCAGCAAAGCTATCATTCGGAATGGGAGGGAGGGCAGATAAAGTGCTTCCCAGATAATGTCAAGTGCAAGGAGTTCATCATCACCTAGTCCTTATTATGTGAAATGTTAAAGGGACTTATCTGAAAAAAAGAAGATGATCAAAAATATGAACAGTAAAATGATAACAAACTCACAACTACCAACAACTGAACCTAAAACAAAAAACAGAAACAAACTAAGCAAACAACTAGAACAGGAACAGAATCACAGAAATGGAGATCACATGGAGGCTTAGCAGTGGGGGAAGGGGAGAGGGGAGAATGGGGGAAAAGGCAGAGGAATAAGCAGCAGAAATGGTAGGTGCAAAATAGACAGGGGGAGGTTAAGAATAGTATAGGAAGTGGAGAAGCCAAAGGACTTATATGTACGACCTATGGACATGAACAAAGGGGTGGGGGATGCTTGAGGGAGGGGGCGTACAGGGCAGAGGGACATAAAGGGGAGGGAAAAAAATGGGACAACTGTAATAGCGTAATCAATAAAACATACTTTTAAAGAAGTGGCATTCCTGTGTAATCTCATTCTGCAAGCACAAGCTTGTGAATGGTTCAAAAGCTCCAAATTTTATTTTATTTGAGCTTAATAAACCATTATCTTTATTCTCAACAAATCGGGATCTTTCTCTGCTTAGTGTTTCTCTACTTAGTGTTTCTCTGCTTATTCCCTGTACGTTTTCCCTCCTTCTCCCCCTCTCCCCTTCCCCACTGCTAACCCTCCACGTGATCTCCATTTCTGTGATTCTGTTCCTGTTCTAGTTGTTTGCTTAGTTTGTTTCTGTTTTTGTTTTAGGTTCAGTTGTTGATAGTTGTGAGCTTGTTATCATTTTACTGTTCATATTTTTGATCATCTTCTTTTTCTTAGATAAGTCCCTTTAACATTTCACATAAAAAAATTTATATAGAGCAGATAGCTTTCCTTGTCAGTATGAGCACACACTTTTGTTGATTTTTAAAATCCTACTTCAAAGATATTACATATCTAATTTAATAATCTACTTCGAGACATATTTGGGCTAATTTCCTTTTTTTTTTACTCTTAGAAATATTGTCTCACTATTGAAAAGAAATTATTTTTCAGTCAACTTTGTGCACACAGGCAAATATTTATGTGGGATACAACCCTAGATGTAGAACATCGTGTTAAGGAATATGTAACCTTCAAATGTTCAATGGAGATTGCTAAACCATTGTGAACAAAAACTGTTGGATTCCCCCTCAGCCAATGTTGATGAAAGAACCTTACTTAGAAGCCATTGTTACTGGGTTAATTTTTTTCCAATGTGTAGGATAGCATTGAAGTTTCATTGTCCGGTTAAGTTGAATTTTTATTGTTGAGGAAGTTAAGTGTATTTTTACATGTGTAGTACAGATACTCACATTTTGTTCTGCGGTTTGTGTATTCGCGACTTTTATCCAAGTTTCCTATTGGATTTTTGTCCTTTTATTAAAAACTTCTATTGAGCATGGGCTGCGAACCAAAGTGTCGCAGGTTCGATTCCCATCCAGGGTACATGCCTGGGTTGCAGGCCACGGCCCCCAGCAACCGCACATTGATGTCTCTCTCTCTCTCTCCCTCCCTTCCCTCTCTAAAAATAAATAAATAAAATCTTAAAAAAATTCTTGTAATAGCTCTCTGATATTATGGAAATTAAAATGTTCTGTGTCACATTTGTCAAATTCTTTCCACTTGTCTCACTCCACACACACTAGAATGGCTATCAAAGAGACAGATAATAATCAGTGTTGTCAAGGAGGCAGAGAAATTGGAACCCTCATACACTGCTGAAGGGGCTGTAAAATGGTGTAGCCACTTTGGAAAATCATCTAGTAGTTCCTCAAAAAAGTTAAACATAGGGTTACCATGTAAGCCAATAATTCCACTTTAGGTGTATACCCAAGATAAATAAAAACATATGTCCACACAGAAGCTTGAACACAAATGTTCATAGCAGTATTATTCATAGTAGCCAAAATGCAGAAGTGACCCAGATGTCCACCAATTGATGAATGGATAAATGAAATGTGTTATGTGCACAATGGGATAATACTTGGCAATAAAAGCAAATTAAGGAGCGATGCATGCTACAACATGGGTGAACCTTGGAAACATGCCAGCATGGCTGACGCCAGCTGACACCTTCTAGTTGGTATTTCTGGTGACAGCTTTTGCCAGCTGTAGGGCCCCAGCTTTTCGGCCCAGGTGCCACCGAGGACCTCTCCTCCCTAGGGCCTCTCAGTCCCAGATTCCCTGAGCCTGGATGTTTGGTGCCTCTTCCTGCCTCTAAGATCATTAAATCATATAACAAGGCCCTGACAGAAATGGCTGTGGAGGTGCTTTCTGCTCTAGCTGGTTTAGTCTAAGGACCAGGAGTTTAGAAGGTCAGGGGGCTTGAAACAAGAGTGAGAAATTCTGCATGGGGGCAGACACTGGTGGCTCTTGGAGAGCCTGTGAACTGAGGCGTGAGGGGCCCCTGTCAGAGGTGTTGCTCACTAGAGCAGCATCAGAAAGGCTGGGCTTACCTCACAAAGGAGCCATACGTGTCACCACCTGGCTGGGGAGTATAGTCAGAGGGCAGGGGAAGCCCTGAGCTCAGGTCCTGCTGATACCCTGACCAGGTGCAGGCATGAACTAAGTGTGTGCGGGACCCAGAGTGGCCCACAAGGTAAGAGGTGGTCAGAGCTGAAGACCTCAGGAAAGAGAAGGATTCCACCCATGGACCAGGCCACCCAGCTCAAAGCTCAGCAAGCAGGGAACCGGTGAAGAGTTTGGTTCTGAGGTGGGTCTGGGTGTAGCTGTGCTGAGTGGAGATGATAGTAATGCCAGGGTGGCCTCCAAGAGTGCCCCGGGCCACTTACTTCAGAGATCTCAGAGCAGAAAGACTCACAGGCCAAAGTTGCTGCTCAAGTCACATGTGTATCAAATCAGTGTATGTCACTGACCAAGAAGCAAGGTGATGAGAAGGAGTATGTTAATACACTTAAGATATGGGGCAAGTGGGGCAAAGGCGGACCCTGGGTGGGCCATGTTCTCTGCTATGTCAGCCTCCTGCTGATAAAGGCTATGAAGCCCACAGTAGAGGTTTGAGCAAAGTGGCCCGACAGGTCAGTAACATACACAGGTGGGTCTGCCTTGCCCTTGCAGAGCTGGGCATGCTGTGCAGTCTCCTGCACAGCCCCATATGTGGTTTAAGTTTCCTGGGGAGAGGAGACATGGGGCCAGAATGGCATCACTCAGTGGGTGGCCAAATGAAGACTTTCTGAGTATTGCGTTTTGCGTGTATCTCATATATTGGATACCCGATGAACATCAAGGTCACCCTCTATGTTCAACTTAGGCACTCGATACGTCCCGCTTCTCTCTGATGAACACAACTGGATTCTGCCTGTTAGGCTGCTTAGTCATCATCTACACATAGCACATCTTAACCATTTTGCCTGTCTCACAAGCCACATCCTGATTTATTTTATACAGTAGAACCAAATCTCCTCAAAAGCAAATGCGTGTTACAAGTGGTGATATGTACACACACGTGTATCAGGTTGAATGAGTCTGAAGGTTCATGTCAGGGAAAACAGTGAAGTCAAGCTCTCACTCTGTCAAGTGGCAGAGGCATTGGCTTGACTTCTTTGTGAGGCACATTTTCCTCAGGGTAAAAGGCCCCACAGGAATGGCAATGTTTAAATGGAATAAAACATGTACAGTCTTTATTAGAGGGTCTGGTAAGACTCACTGACACTCAATAGATAGATCCCAGAGTGATTACTAATGAGCCTGACTAGAAAGAGGGGGAGATGCAGGGCACAGTTTTGAGGCCTGTACAAAGACTTTCATATGCACTCAAGGAAAGCAAACAAATGAGGAGTTTTGAGACCCGTGTTTTCCCTGCAGCAGTGTATCTGCTGCGGGTCCTCGTGTCCATCTGTGCACACAGACTTGATACACACAGGCACCTTCACTGGATGCATGGGGACCTTGCAGAAAAGTCAACAGGGGTCATCTGACCGGGAAGAAAGGGGGTGTGTGTGAGTGCAAGCGTACATGCATTCTCCCAAGTGTGAGTGCACAGAGATATGCATCCTTCCAGAAAGAAAACAGCCAAGATGGGAAAATGGACTGAATTGTAACTGCAGATTTCTCACATGGTTTCTCTTTGGGGAAAGAAAGACAGTGTTTACAGAGATTCTCTTCTTTTCACCCACAGTAGTGCTAAGAGAAGTTGGGGAACAGAGGCATCAGGGCTAGCCCAGTCTGCCCATCTCCCCAGCCCTGGAAGGACAGTGGGAAGTCAGCCTGTGCTCCCTTGGCTGAGGTGCCATGGCCAGATTCTGCCCAAGCCTACTGCTCTTTGTGGCCACTATGGTCCTCGTGTCCAGATGTATCCACGCCTGGGGCTCATCAAAGGTGGTAAGGAAATTTGAAGATATCCCGGAAACCTACGTCTATGTGCAGCAGGCACTGTGGTTCGCCATGAAAGAATATAACAAGGCCAGCAAAGACAAGTATACCTTCAAGGTGGTGCAGGTTCTGAAGTCCCAGGAGCAGGTTGGTGGACATTTGCTCCTCGCTTCTCTGCATGTCTGTAGCTGTGGTGCGGTCATCATCCATGGATGGCTACTGAGACCAGGGAGTGGAAAGCAACTGAGGGGTGTCTTTAGCTAAATATATGAATTTAATTGTTTAATCCTTTATTATCCTGGGATGAGATAGAAAATATCCATTCAAATAACGTAAAATGTATTATAGTTACATCATAGGTAAGAACCCAGAAGGGCTCTTAAAGAGACCAAGTTTGGAAAACTTTGGGCTAATATCATCAAAATTAATGATGACAAAGATAAATTATTATACAGTGAACAAGCAAAGAAACTGCAAGTCCAGCTTTCACTGATAAAGAGAACCAGAGCAGAGAATGGAAGGCTTCTCTTTGCAAAAGAATGCCTACTGATAGATGTAAAAGAATATGTAACTAGAAAATCACCTTTTGCAAACACCATTGTAATAACTAATTCAGGCAAAGATCATCAATAAATCCCACAACTATTGGGTGAGAGAATACTGGAAAACAAATTTCTTCAGGGATTACTTAATTAATTACAATGGGGAAGAGATGCACTTTCTGGTGAATGCCTCACTCGGCAAATATGTACACCAATACTGGGACAAATCGACACCATGTGCCCCTGATGTGATAGTACTGAAAGGACACAACATCGTCTGTTTATGTTATTCTTGCACAACAAGCATACCCTAAATGTAGTCATGAGGAACAATTCAACAAATCCATAAGATCACTTAAAAGATATCGGTGTCACAAAAGACGAGAAAAAACAGGGAACCTGTTCTCGATCAAGAGAACTTAAGAAACATGGCAATAAATGTAATGTGTGGTGGTATATTATCTCTTGGATTAAAAAAATTACAAAGAATATTATTAGGACAATTGGAGGAATTTGAATATGGACTATATCATAGAAAAGAGCATTGGGCCAATGTGGCATTTCTTGAGAAAGACGATTGTACTGTGTTTATGTAGGAGGGGATCAAGACGGGGCTGGTGGCTCGTTGATCGCTGTTGAGTATGATTTAAATCAGTCTGTTTTTAATCTTTGAAAACATCCCTCAGATATAAAGCAGTGGTTCTCAGTTCAGTATGGGTTTTGCTTGTCGGGGAGTTTGGCAATACATGGAGAATTTTTGTCATCAAAACTGAAGGATGACCTATTCGCATCTAGTGAATGGAGGCCAGGGATACTGCTAAACACCCTACAGTGTCTAAACACCCTACAGGGACCCCTGTCCCCCGCACCCTCCAGAGTGATCCAGCCCCAATTGCCAGTGGTGCTGAAGTTGCAAAACTTGATAACCAGTCAAAATGAAGTTCTGGGAATACACATGTTTTAAAAATGAAGCGAACACTCTATTTCTTGCATTTCTAATGTGACTCATCATTACTGAGGGCAGTTTGCTCTGTCCTTTCATACATATTCTATACACTTACTGCCTTAGTCTCTACTTTTTAATGTGGCCAGGACAGGAGTTTTATTCAGTGTTTCCTAATGAAAACTTAAAGGTGGTCATGAAATCACACTTAAAATTCTGCCTACTACACCCATTTTGTTCAATGTCCAGGCAATTTATCTAGAATTTCTAAAATGTTTGCTATATTTTATGAATTATCTCTTATTCTCCTGGGGTTAGTTATTGTGCCTAGTGTGGTCATTCTCTTCCATGTGTTCTCTTCCCCAAATCCCATAAAACTTTTCTTCTTGTTCATGTTTTAATAATAAAAGTCTACATTTACCACTGTGTTGCTCCATGTCCCCACGAGGCACTCCTGAATAGAGGGCAATGGTGGGTTCTGCACAGATGAGGAAGATGCCTTGGAAGTCAGTAAGTTTGAAGGGTGTACCACATGGAATAAGGTGTGTGTTGCTAACATCGCCAAAGCATAGAAGGCTTTGGAGAGAAGCAAGACACTCAGAAGTGCATTTCAGTTCTGGGATGTGTTTTCTATTGACTAGGCATGAAGATACTATAACCTCTGCTGTTCACTTCCCAAGCTTCAATAAAGTTCTTGGAGAATAGTTTTCTTGATTTACCTTAGGACAGTTTGTCATTACTTTAAAATTAAATACCATAATGAGAGAGAGGGTGGAATGAGAGAGAGAGAGAGAGAGAGAGAGAGAGAGAGAGAGAGAGAGAGAGATATCAAAGTAAGAACCTTCTTCTCCAATTACTCCAAAACCAGCTTCTGACAAGGAAACTGTAGGAGAGAGGGTCATTGACCCTAAGTAGACATGTTTATCAGAGATGACTATTAATACTATGTATTCCTTTATGATATCTAATTTTTAAATTACTCTGACAGGTCACAGATAGTTTGGACTACTTTCTTGAAGTCAAAATTGCTCGAACAATGTGCAAGAAATTTTCAGGAGAAAATGAAAACTGTCTATTACCACAAGATCCCAAAATGCAAAAGGTATGTGGCTGAGACAGGGGGATGTGATGGTCATGGTTAGGTTTGTATCCCAGACAGATAAAACTGATACAAGCAACCCTGCTTTGATTTTTAAAGTTTCCTTTTTAAACCGTATTCTGATCATATTCAGAACTGAGGATGGCCAGGTTCTAAACATAGAACACCTTTTTAATTATATTTTGCTGATACCACCTCCCATCACCACTGATAACATACACACACACACGCACACACACGCACACACACACACACACACACACACACACACACACACACACTTAGTGGCTTTAAGCAATGTTCTGCAATCTGGGCTGGGTTCTGTTCCCTGTGTTGTGTGCTGGGGTAGGAATGCTCCATATGGCTGCTCTACTTACATGTCTAGGACAGCTGAAATAGTTGGGGGCTGGCTGCCATCTTTCTGACTCTGCTCAGGAACTCTTCGTGGGCCAAACCTGCATGGTGACCAGTTATCCTAGTTCTTCCAGAACTAAGAGGTTTCCTAGGGTGTGGAATTTCAGTGCTAAAACCAAAACCAGTGAATATCTGAGAAAGCTGGTGTGAATTTGGGCTTGCTACAACATGTTGGTCCCAAAGGGAGCAGAAGCTGCCACCAGTCCTTCTCTGGTCTTGCCTTGGAAGTCCCAGAATATCCCTTTTACCACATTCTTCTGGTCAAATTAAGTCACAAGTTCAGCTCAGATTCAAGGGGAGAGCATAGAATCCCCTCTCCATGGGCAGAGCATGATGCACATACTAGCAAGGAAGGAACTGATGGCAAGCATCTTGATGGTCATCTGCTGGGGGGCGCTTACCCAGTAGAAAGCATGGCCAGGCCAACTTTATAGGCTTATGATTGCTTTGCAGCTGGTAATACTAGAAGGAACTTTCCTTGACTGATTCCAATAGTGCAGCTGCTGTATGGAAGGCCTTGAAGTTTTGGACAGTTCCAAGATGCCTAGGCTAATGGCCCCACATAAATGAAGTTACTCACTATAGTCTAATATGTTCATCCTCTGCTTCTTTATGCCACAGATCAGAAACAAGCTGGGTCTGGGTGTTGCCAGGCCTCAACCCCAGATGGGTACTGTCACAAATGGGTCAGTTCATCTCTCAGCCTCAGTGAGAAAATTCCTTACTCTCATCATATTGAATTAAGAGGGACATTTTGGATTTAAATTTAAACTTTTTAAATATGCATAAATATTTTCTAAAAGTATATACTCATAAAATTAAGTGATAAAGGTGATGGCATGCTCCTCTGTGCACCTTAAGGACCTCCTAATTCTGTTCCCTCCTTAGGAGTAACCACCAGGATCATTTGTGTGGATATCTAAAAAATAATCTTACTATTAGTTTGTATAAACTGATATGGTCTTTCTTTTTTTTTTCTTAACAACTGCTGAGGGCACTATGTGTATTTTGATGCAACTTCCTTGTGTATCTTTTCATATTTGTCTTGGTGATATTTTCATAGAAGTTGATTTCCAATTTTTCACTTCCAAAAATAAAGTGGCAGATATCTATCTATCTATCTATCTATCTATCTATCTATCTATCTATGTATCTATCAATCATCTATCTTTCTGTACTTTCTGTATATTTCACCTATTTACTGTATACCTAAAGGTGGCACCAGACATGGGTAAGCATAAATAATGTCAGATTAGCAATTGCAAACAATTGGCCTGACATGCTGAAATAAAAAAATATCTTCACATTCAAATAAATAGTAGGCACCACGGCAGGACACCAAAATGCAGGTGGATGGCTCCATCCAGAGAATGGACAGATTATAAATTATTTTCAATTAACTAACATTTCAAATATTCTCGTAGGTACTAAGAATGTTGTATCAAATACACATGTGCCTTCCACAAGGATTTTATAGTTTGTTATCATTTTATTGCATTAATTTGAAATATTCATTTTAACAAGTAAAATGCTACACATCCATCCTGCTCCCCCTCTCAAAGAGTACCACTCTCCCAAAATTGGTGAATGGCATTCCTACCCTTTAGAAAAAATTTATCATATAGAGTTTTGTGTGTTTTTTGAAATTATGGAACTTTCAAATTTTGGAACTTTCTCTTGTTTTGTTTTTCCACTCAACAATATGTTTTGAGATTTATTCATGTCTTGGTATAATCTCCTATTATTTATCTATGCCAAGTGGCTTCTTGGGTCAGTGTGTGTGTATGTGTGTGTGCACGCATGCGTGTGTGTGTGTGTGTGTGTATTCAAAATTTTTTTATTACTCTACATTAAGCTCTTATATGAGTAAATTACATTGTATCTAACCATTTTCCTACTTTGAACATCTTCGGTTGCTTTGTTTTATTTTATTCCCTCTATCTCTTTTTTCTTGAATTTGTCGGGGTGACATTGGTTAATAAAACCATACAGGTTCCAAGTGTACGACTCTGTAACACACCATCTGCATACTGCACCATGCGCTCACCACTCACAGTCAGGTCTCTTTCTGTCACCACCATTTATCTCCCCTTTGTCCTTTTCCCCCTCTGCCCAATGCCCTTTGCCTCTGGCAATCACCATATTGTTGTCTGTGGCTGCTTTCTTTTTCTTTTGTTTTCTTTTTAAATGTATAAATATTTAATTTTTTATTGTTATTCAATTACAGTTGTCCCACATTTTTTTCCCATTGCTCTCCCCTGCCCTATAGCTCCGCCATGCTCCCAGCATGGATGATTTTTTTTTCTCAATCCTGTTACCATTCCCCGCCAGTCCCCTAAGCCCTTCCCTTCTGACACCTGTCAGCATGTTCTCTGTATCTAGGAGTCTATTTCTATTTTGTTTCTCAGTACATTTTGTCCACTGGATTCTACATATAAGTGAAATCAATGGTATTTGCCTTTCTCTGACATTTGGAGGCTTTAAATTTTTCACTCTTATGATTACAATGGCCATTCTGATGAGTATAAAGTGGTATCTCATTGTGGTTTTTGTTTGCATCTCTCTGATGGCTAGTGATGGTGAGCATGCTTTCAAATGTCTCTCAACCCTCTGTATGTCCTCCTTGGAGAAGTGCTTGTTTGCAACCAGTGATAACTCGGACAAGGGTTTCATCCCCAAGATATATAAAGAACTCCCATGACTCCACTCTAGGAAGGCACACAATCCAAATAAAAAATGGGCAAAGGACCTGAACAGACACTTCTCCAAGGAGGACATACAGAGGGTCCAAGGACACATGAAGGTATGCTCAGCATCACTAGCCATCAGAGAGATGCAAATTAAAACCACAATGAAAGACCACTTCACACCGGCCAGAATGGCCATCATAGCAAATCAACAAACAAGTGCTGGTGAGGTTGTGGAGAAAAGGGAACCCTAGTACATTGTTGGTGAGAATGCAGACTGGTGCAGCCACTGTGGAGGACAGTATGGAATTTCCTCAGAAAACTAAAAATGGAACTGCCTTGTGACCCAGCAATTCCAGTGCTGGGATTATATCCTAAGAGCCCTGAAACACCAACCCAACAGAACCTATGCACCTCAGTGTTCATAGCAGCACAATTTACCATAGCCAAGTGCTGGATGCAACCTAAGTGCCCATCAGTAAATGAGTGGAGCAAAAAGCTATGGTACATTTACACAATGGAATACTACACAGCAGAGAGAAAGAAGGAGCTCCTACCCTTTGTGACAGCATGGTTGGATCTGGGGAGCATTATGCTAAGTGAAATAAGCCAGGCCAAGAAAGGCAAATACCACATGATATCACCTATAAGTGGAACCTAATCAACAAAACAAACAATCAGGCGAAACATAACCAGAGACATTGAAGTAAAGAATATACTGACATTAACCAGAGGTGAGGGGAGTGGTATAATGGGGGGAAAAAGGGGGAAGGGTCGTCAAGGTATATATACAAAGTACTCATGGACAAAGCCAAAGGAGGGTAGGATCAAGGGTGAGAGGTGAGGATGGGTGGGGATGGGTGGGCTGGGAGGGAGTGGTGGTGGGAAAATGGAGACAACTGTATTTGAACAACAATAAAAAATTTTTTTTCACTCTTTTTTGTTGTTGTATTTTTTCATTACCATTTGTCTCCTTTATATCCCCTTAAACTTTTCACTCTTAAACAACAATGCTGCAGTGAAAGTCGTGGCACATGCTGACTCCTCCCAGCGATGATGCTGGGAGTAGGACTGTCACATTGTGGAGCACGTGAAACTTCAACTTTTGTGTGGCAGGCCACACGTGACACATGACTTCGATTTTACTCTCCAAAGTGGTTGAACCAGCGTATCTTCCATGAATGGTGTGCACAATTAATCATTTCTCTTCAGCCTTGCCGGTGTTTGGTGCTATGAGTCAAAAGTTTTCCAGTCTGATGTATGTGAAAAGGTATCTCCTCATCATTTCACATTGCATCTCTGATTTCTAGTAAGTTTGAGATGCTTTTTAAAGAGAATCCTTTTTTAAAAGATTTTATTTATTTACTTTTAGAGAGGGAAGGGAGGGAGAAAGAGAGAGAGAGAAACATCAATGTGTGGTTGCTGGGGGCTGTGGCCTGCAACCCAGGCATGTGCCCTGACTGGGAATCGAGCCTGCGGCATTTTGGTTCGCAGCCCGCACTCAATCCACTGAGCTACGCCAGCCAGGGAAGTTTGAGATGCTTTTTATTAGAGGTTATATTTATTTATTTTTAGAGAGAGGAGAAGGGAGGGAGAGAGGGAGAGAAACATCAATGTGTGGTTGCCTGTTGTGCACCCCCTACTGAGGACCTGGCCTGCCACCCAGGCATGTGTCCTGACTGGGAATCAAATTGGTAACCCTTTGGTTCACAGGCCGATGCTCAATGTACTGAGCCACACCAGCCAGGGCTACAGATGCTTTAATATTCCTAATGATCATCCAGGTTTTCACTTCTGGGACTGGCTTTTTAATATCATCTCCTCTGGAGCAAAGAGCCTCTGTCAGGCGCCATGGCCTTAAGTGAAGGGATGCAGCCAACCTGCTCTAAACCCCTGAGCTCACTCTCCTCATGCCTCCCACTTTCCTGCCTCTTATCTCCCTTGGCCAAACCCAACTGGAAACCAGAGGATGACCGTTAGTGTGGTCTGTAGAGATCAGGGTGCAAGGATGCCCATTGATTGACACACCCCATAAAGGTTTTTTTGCCTTTCAAGACATGCTGGGTAGAGACAGGGAGTATAGACCTGGAAGGGAAAATAGAGCAAATCCAGCCTACGGGCAAGGGTGGAGACAGCAAGATCCATTATAAGTCTATTGGAATAGATCAGATGAGAGATGATGTTGGTTAGGATGGTGGAGGTGCTCAGTTCTAGATATCTGTGAAAAAAGTTGGTCAGAATGTGCTGAAGGACTTGGCCATGGAGTGTGAGAGGAGGAAAGTCAAGGATGACTTTAAGATTTGTAAGGTTTGGAGGCAGTTTACTCTCTTGGTTTTCTCTTCTGTTCTCATTCTGCACAGTGAGTACTCGTCATTCAGTAGATTTCCATCACCTCTCTCACACTCACTTCTGTGAGATTCCTCCCTGTCTCTGCTTTTGCGTGGGGTCCTTTCTTGTTTCACAGAGCTCCTAGAGAATTGAGTTTACCTGTTTGCTTTAATTATTGGGGTTTAGGAAGGTGGAAAGAGTAATCACGTAGGCACCTTAAAAATAAATGTTAAAACTTTATATTATTTTAAATAGTTATTAACCTGATTCATTTAATGTAGAAAATAGGGAAATTTTCAAAAACATTAATAGCTTAACACCAACTATAAGTATCCTTATGCAAAGTTTACCACTCTCAATATATTAATAGCATCCTATATTTTTGTACATTTTAGTTTTTTTAAAGATTTTATTTTATTTTATGTTTTAGAGAGGGAAGGGAGGGAGAGAGAGAGACAGAGAAACATCAATGTGCGGTTAATGGGGGCTGTGGCCTGCAACCCAGGCAACCCAGGCATGTGCCCTGACTGGGAATCGAACCTGTGACACTTTGGTTCGCAGCCTGTGCTCAATCCACTGAGCTATGCCAGCCAGGGTACATTTTATTTTTGTAAGTGATTTTATTGTTGTTCAATTACAGCTTTCTGCATTTTTCCCCCACCTTCCCCCCGCCACCCCCAGCCAAACCCACCTCCCTCCCTTGCTTCCACCCTCCCCCTTGGTTTTGTCCATGTGTCCTTTACAGTAGTTCCTGAAAACCCTTCTCCCCATTGTCCCCTCCCCCCTCCCCTCTGGCTATTATTAAGTTGTTCTTAATCTCAGTGTCTCTGGTTATGTTTCGCCTGATTGTTTGTTTTGTTGATTAGGTTCCACTTATAGGTGATATCATGTGGTATTTGCCTTTCTTGGCCTGGCTTATTTCACTTAGCATAATGCTCCCCAGATCCAACCATGCTGTCACAAAGGGTAGGAGCTCCTTCTTTCTCTCTGCTGTGTAGTATTCCATTGTGTAAATGTACCATAGCTTTTTGCTCCACTCATTTACTGATGGGCACTTAGGTTGCATCCAGCACTTGGCTATGGTAAATTGTGCTGCTATGAACACTGAGGTGCATAGGTTCTGTTGGGTTGGTGCTTCAGGGCTCTTAGGATATAATCCCAGCACTGGAATTGCTGGGTCACAAGGCAGTTCCATTTTTAGTTTTCTGAGGAAATTCCATACTGTCCTCCACAGTGGCTGCACCAGTCTGCATTCCCACTGACAGTGCACTAGGGTTCCCTTAGTGGGGAAAATCCCACTAGGGTTTTCTCCACATCCTCTCCAACACTTGTTTGTTGATTTGTTTATGATGGCCATTCTGACTGGTGTGAAGCGGTATCTCATTGTGGTTTTAACTTGCATCTCTCTGATGGCTAGTGATGCTGAGCATATTTTCATATGTCTCTGGGCCTTCTTTATATCCTCCTTGGAGAAGTGTCTGTTCATGTCTTTTGCCCATTTTTTAAATTGGGTTGCTTATCTTCTTGGAGTGGAGTCCTGTGAGTTCATTATACATTTTGGAGATCACACCCTTGTCTGAGGTATCATTGGCAAATATGTTTTCCCATATAGTTGGTTCTCTTTTCATTTTAATGCTGTTTTCTTTAGCCATGCAGAAGCTTTTTTTTTAAAATTTGATGAAGTCCCATTTTTTTATTCCCTCCTTTATGTCCCTTGCTTCAGGGGACATATCAGTGAAGATGTTGCTGTGTGGAATGTCTGAGATTTTCCTGTCTGGTACTGGCAAAGGAACAGGTACATAGACCAATGGAACAGAACAGAGAGCCCAGAAATAAACCCGAGTTTCTATGGTCAATTAATATATGACAAAGGGGGAAGAAGAATAAAATGGAGTAAAAATAGCCTACCCAACAAATGGTGTTGGGAGAGCTGGACCGCTACGTGGAAAAAAAATGAAACTCGATCGCCAACTTACACCATACACAAAAATAAATTCAAGGTGGATAAAAGACTTAAATATGTCATGACACCATAAAAGTCCTAGAGGAAAACATCAGCAGGGAAATCTCAGACATTTCTACCTTTTATACTACATTTGTATTTTTTTTTATGTAGCTGGGAATCACTGTGTACACTCTTCCATAGTTTAGAATTTTATTTAAGAATAAACTCCAAGAATTTGCAAAACTTTGAAATTATTCAAAAGCATTATATAGTGAAACCATTTTATTTTATTTAATGTTTCCACCTACTATTTAGGCAGTCCCTGAGAACCGATTAAATTTTTCCAATTTTTAGCTATTGTGAACAGAGTTTTAATGAAGGTTCTCTTTAATTTATATCTGATTATTGTTTCCTTATAGGCTAAGTCCCCACAAGTTGAATTGCTCCTTCAATATCTTTCACCTCTTAAAGCTTTTTAATATACATTGATAAAATGTTCTCTATGATTGATCTTGATAGTGGAGTTTTTAATTCCTCTGCTTCATGATTGTTTCCTGTCTACCTTGGCTGATCCAGAAGTTAAGCAATTAGTGATCTCTCTGATAAGCTCACTCTCTCCTCCCCGCCACTGGCCATCCTGAATGCCTATCTGGCCTGGATACCCCTCCAGTCTGGCTGTGGTCCTTCAATGGACTTTCTGGGTTGCTGGTAGCTTGGTCCTATTTTCTCCCTCACACTCACTGATCCCTCATTGTATTTTATGCAAGTTCAGTTCCACTTAATGCTGCCATTCCCACTTCCATTGATGTAATGGAGGTTCCCTACTTTGTTCTCATTCTAACTGAATAACGTTTTTAGGAGAGAGAGGAGGGGCACAGGTCAACTTATCCCATACCATGAGCCCGAAGCCCTGTGCATTCTGCAGGCCCCAGAAGGAGCACTATGTGTCTCCTCCCAGCTTCCCAGCTGCAGGCTTTCTTGGTGGCCTCTGTCCAGGCTTTGACCCTCATCCCCTCCCAAAGGCACGAAGGACCCTGTACTATTCTTCTTGTGTTGCCTCACCTGGGAAGGAGCCACTGGGCCTTCCATGCAGCATGGGGGCCTCTGTGTCTGTGGGCTGCAGGGGAACTGGCGTGACTAGATGAGAACCAGAGCTGAGAGCAAGGATTTCTAAAGACAGCCAGTTCTTGGGCTATCCTAGAGCAAATAGAGCCATGTCCCTGATAGCTTCAGATCACAGGCAAGTGAATTGGCAGGAGCCCATCCTAATGAGTGAGGCTGGCTCCTCTACTGTCAAGTTCCAGGTCAACAGCTCTGAAGTCTTTGGGAGCATGGCTAGCTCAGACCACTTCTTAGTATTCCTGAAGGAAAATCCTCACATCTTAAAATAGAAACAACAACAAAAAGTTTTTCCCCAATTGTCTCTCTCTTTCTTTCTTTCTTTCTTTCTTTCTTTCTTTCTTTCTTTCTTTCTTTCTTTCTTTCTTTCTTTCTTTCTTTCTTTTCTTAAAGTAAATTTTATTGATTATACTATTATGGTTGTTCCAATATGTTTCTCCCATTTATCTCCCCTCTGCCCTGCACCAGCCCCCTCCAACCTCCAGCATTCCCCACTGACTCTTAGTTCATGTTCATGGGTTGTACATATAAGTTCTTTAGCCTCTCTATTTCCTCTACTATTCTTAACCTCTCCCCATCTATTTTATGCCTACCAATTATGCTTCTTATTCCCCATACCTTTCCCCGCCCATTCTCTCCCTCCCCCCCTCCCCATTGGTAACCCTCCATGTGACCTTCATTTTTGTGATTCTGTTCCTGTTTTAGTTTTTTTGCTTAGTTTTTGTTTTTGTTTCTTAGGTTCAGTTGTTGATAGTCATGAGTTTATTGCCATTGTATCGTTCATAGTTTTTTATCTTATTCAATTTTATTTCTGAAAGCTAATTATTATTTTTGTCTCTTTTAGATGTTTCTTTGCACTTTTATTGTTGCATCCAAGCCCTGGAAATTTGAACTCACTATGCTGAAGAAACAATGCAAAGATATCTAATTACCTTCTAGTGCATTCTGCCACTCTCATTCTCATTCTGAAGAAGCAAAGACACTTGCAAAACATTTAAAGAAAACAACTGACCCATTGACTTCGTTTTTGTGGGCTCCTTGATGATCTGCAGCCCTTTTTCTTTCTTGTGCATTCTTCAGGGGCTCACGCTGAGAATGTGATGCCTTTTTACAGCACTGGAAAGCCTCTTCTAGTTGGCTAATTCATCTCCTGCCAGGGACAATCTTCTACCAAGGGTGGAAGAGAGTGTGAACGTGTTTCCATATTTCACCAAACTGAGCATAAGTTCCTTTTCACTGTCAGCTTTCTGAAGAACTACATGGGGGACCTAGCCCTCCATTGCTTCAGGCTGGTTGGTAGTTTTTGCAAGGTTCTGAGGGTCTGGTTGCCTTGAGAGTGTCCATCCATGGATTTCCTCAGAAATCTTCCTGCCTAGGACTTCTGGAAAGACATACATAGCCTAATGGCTTAGAAACAGTTTTGAACCCCACATCAACCTGGGAGATAGTGGGTCACTTGGAAATTTGTGCTTCACTTTTGGTTTCAAATTGAGGCAGAAAAAAACACAAGATGATGTTGCATGGAGACTAGGCTACATTTGTGTCTGCATGTGTGTGAGCACACACACAATAGGATGTATTATCTAATAACCCTTGCTTTTGGTAACTGAAGCAATTTACTTATGCCTCTCATGGTGTCTATGGGTCATGTATCTGGGGGTGGCTTGGCTGGGTGGTTCTAGGTGTCACCTCTCATGAGGTTACACTCAGACATCGACTGCACTGCCCTCACCTGAAAGTTAATTTGCTTGGAAAAGAAACAATTCCCAGGTGGCTTACATGCATGGCTGCAGGTTGGTATTGGCTGCTGAAAAGGAGGGCTCTGTTCTCCTCCACATGGACCTCTCCCAAGGGCTGCTGTTTGCATGGTATGTCTCCTCCACATGGACTCTGGCTTCCTCTAGACAGAGTGATCTGAGAGACCAAGACGGAAGCCATGGTGCCCTCTGAGACCTCACTTCAGATGTCACACACCATCCAGTTACTGGCCACCCAGATTAACCCAGGGTCAGTGTGGGAGGGGACTCTAGAAGGGCACGAAGACCAGGAGATATGAACCCAGTCGAGACCATCTTGGAGCCTGGCTACCATAATGTGAGTGTGAGTGTGTGTGTGTGTGTGTGTGTGTGTGTGTGTGTGTGTAGGGATGGACAGAGATGATGATGGAGGAGGAGGATGGAGGTTAACATGACCAGAAAGAAGCCCTTTCTGAAACTTAGATGTGGAAACTATAGCACTGCTATGCAGGTCAAGGTCATCAGAGGAATGTCAACAAAAATGCAGAAGGAAGTTCTAACTTAGGTGTGTGAGAGATGGTGAAGCTCTCTAGAGGCTACCTGGCTGACAGGTAAACACTCCCCAGTAATTCTTTTCTGCAGGGCCGATGACAAGCACCTGAGCCTCTCTGCCTAAGGGTTTCCTCTCCACCTGTGAGGGGCAGGCTAGAGTGCTAGAGAGGTAATGCCCCTGTGAGGAACACTCAGCCAGTGGCTGAAGCTGGAGGATAAATACCTTTGTCTTCTGATGCCCCAGCAGATAACATCAAGGTTTGTTCTACCCAGTCTTTGAGAGGTGCCCAGCAAGATGGAGCCCTGGTTGCCCACATTGTGATTCTGCTCACTGTTACCTGCTGCTTCCCCTTCTACTTCCCCACTGCCCTTCTGGTGTCTTCTGGGATCACCCCCAAATAGACCACTTGCAACTGAATTTTTGTCTTAATGTCAGCTTCTGGAGGAAACAGCCTCATAGTAGAGCCCAGGTCCACTGTGAGGGGTAGCCTGGGGCCACCCTGGGGGCTTGCCTGGGTGAGATCAAGCAGCAGGACGTACTTCATCTGCATTCCCCTTGCCTCAGCCACTGGGGAAGGCATGCCCTGTCCTCCCTCCTCCTCCTCTGTGTGCTCATAGAGTTCTGGGTACCTGTGGGGAGGAGTTCTTGCCATATTGCTTCTCCCCACCTCAAGACAGGGATCTCTATACTGCTACCTGCAGCACCTGCAGCCAGCTTCTCTCCATCCTACTCTGCTCTTAAGCCCCAGGCACTGTGGGTGCACAGCCTGAACTACCAGAACACTTGCTTCCTGAGTTTGTAGCCAGAGCTGGCAGGCCTCACCTGGTCTTATGAGCAGCCCCTCCAGAGAGCTTTGCCCTCTGAGCCCTGACACTTGTGGTTGCACACATGGAGGGACCTGCGTCGTTCACACATCCTGGGCTGGTCATTGCAATAACACCTATTGCAAGCATCTGGGGCACCAGACTTCACTGTCCACATCCAAGGTCAGCAGTGCACTCTGCTTCGGGATTTAACTTTTCAAAACCACCTGAGCACTTCTGACACATTGAGTCAGGATGAAGAATCAGGACTGAGACAGCTCAATTGACTACTTTACTTTTAATTTTTTATTTGCTCACAGTTGGTGTTTTACGTGAGATGGAGGGAACTAGAGCATGTGGGCATTCAGGCTGTGAGACAACTCAGTACTGGCTCATTCTCCCAAGGTTTGAAAACTCATTAAAGCCTGGGACCTCAGCCACCCAAGGGGCCAGCGGCCCATATAAAGTTGGGTCTCCAGCCCTTCTCCTTGGATGCAGTGCTTCTTAGATGATACATCAATGACAGAAGCTTTGGCTTTGCCATCATGTCCTTTTTCCCTCTTAGATCATGAGAAAATTTTTTGTGGGGGGGGCATTGGAGAGAAAGGGTCAAAAATGCATCTCCCAAGTGGGACGTGTTCCTTTTCCAGACTGGGTGAGCATGGGGTGGGGAGTACAGGGAGAAACCAGAGTTTTAATCCCATGGCCTATACCAGGACCCAAGGTGGGTGGTGGGAGCATTAGGAACCAACCCGAAAATTTGGAATGTGTGAAGGTATGCTGAGGAACATGCAAGGCAAGGACCACTGACAGCAAGGTTCATCTCTGTGTATGTCATCTGCCTCCAGCTCCCTCCCCTTCCTTTGTCCCCATGGGAGTGGCTGCGCATCTGCAAAGGCCTCCTGGAATTCTCAACCTCAGTGTTATTTTGTGTTCAGTCCTGTATTTATTGAGCCCCAGGGCTGTGCCTTGACCCTGGCACCCTGGGGAAGCTGAGAAAAAAATGTCCAAATGTCTCCTCGCAAATGGGGAAGTGGCCATGGAACAGAACAGGAGATAGGAATGCCGAGCATTTGATTACCAACAGGAGCAGTTATTTTCTTCAGCTGCCCCCACTTGATTCTCAGCTGCAGGCCTGGCAATTCATTCCTGGGAAGGTTTGCTCACAAGTCCTGGCTTTCAAGTGGTTCCAGGGAAAGGAGGGGCTACCCTACTGAATTCTGGTATCAGGGGTTCATGCTCTGACCAGATCTGTCCTCACAGGATATCCAGGGTTCTGAGTGTTATCGCTGTGCAGGGCCAATTGCCAGTCCTTCAGGAGGACTCCTTCAGGAGCCTCGGGGCAGTTTTCAGCCTCCCTGTGCGGGAAGCTTGGGAAGCAAAGCCCATTCCCATGGGACCTGTGGGCACAGGGCCTTGGAACCACACCGATGCTCAGCATCTGGGGAAACCCATGCTGGAGGAGGCATGATCCCTGACTCTCTCACGGGAGTTGTACCATCTGCAGCAGCATTTTGTTCATAGTGCTGCTTTCAGGCATTGCCTATTCCTACTGAGAATAGGAGCTACTTCCCAGGCTGTGGGGGGCCAGCCCTCCTCATGGGCTCTCTCCCTCACTCATTTTCCCTCAGCAGTAAGCTCACAGGAACATCCTTGATAAATTCCAGGCCATTTCTGTCAAGTGTTGGGGGCTGTCGCCATTTTCATACTCAATGCTTTCAGTGTTGTATATTTCACTTGTCCTGACACATGTCCATATGAATATTGATTCCTATGTCAACAAAACATTTTTATCCCCTTCTTAAGAGTAGTTATTTCTAGGAAATAGATTTTAAAGTAATCAACAAATTGGCTGGTTTTAGTAAATATGTCATTCTAAAACACCACCATAGGATACTAATACTAGGTTGTGACAAGAAAGATGAAGGGCACAGAAGTGGTCCTGTTCACCATCTCATTATTGAGACAGAAACATGTACTAACCCTGGGTAGTAATTTAAACTTTGGTCTCAAGTGTTTGTCCCCAGACTAAGGTGAGATCTTTTTGTGCCATGGGGATGGCAGCTGTAGGAATGTGCACTGCTCAAGTAGTGCCCAGATTTAAAAGGCTCACAATGCAGTCAAGGCCAGCCTCTGACTGGCAAGGATGGAAACATCAGGCCATGGGTCTCTGTATTTCTTGCTCTCTCCCCACTAGGCTTATTGTCCACAATATTATAAAATGGTTGATTAAAATTTTCATTTTTAATCTTTCATTTCCCTTAGTACACGAGGAATTTGGCTGTTGCCATGCTGGAAACAAGAAAAGAGCAAACTGACATGTCAGTTCTTCTTCTGAGTAAAGGAGATCCTCTCTCTGGTTAAAATAAGAACGGGATAATGAGAATCAAGATGTCCCCAGATCTTATCTCAACATGCTGGGGGAAGCTGAGGCACAGGAATGTGCAAGGACATCAGGCCACTTAGAGGAAAAATGTCAATTGCTGTGGGCTCCAAAGAAGCTGCTTTTAAAACTCATGTGAAGGGGGTAGCGTTGGATCTCAGTTTCAACCATGTCTGCATGCAATTAAGTCCAAACCTCTTTATTTTAATCAATTCAAGTTTTGAGTATATATTTAATTTATTTTTATTTATATATGCGCACACACACACAAACTTTGGGATAACCTGTTACACAAAGTAAGTAATTGGGATGCATATCCATATTAATATATCTAGATTATATAATTAAAAACTAATGTCCTATTTCTGGATTAAAATTATTTTTCAGCGTGTGGGTTGGAAATTCAGGTATGCTTTGTTGGGGTCTTTTATGAAGCTGTGGTCAAGATATTAG